TATGCCTACACATCAGCGACGAGAGAGTAATCAAGTAAAAATATAAATTTTTAGTAAATTTCATAAATCTATATATGTGTATAGTTACATGCAGCTATTGGTGTTAAATCACATGGAACCATTACTTGTAAGATGAATAAGATTGTATCAAGAAAAAGAAACGAAATGAATTTATTTGATTATTTTTAAGTTGCTGATAATAAATCAAATCGAGCAGAATTTATTCGTATTCCACCTGATGCTTCTGTTGCACGTGTTAAAGAATTTCTCAATCGACAATGGTGTAGTGAAGTTAGTTTTTGATTATTTTGATTTTGAGAAATTGTATTATTAATTTTTGATTATTTAGAGACCATCACTTGTGATTTCAGTTACAGGTGGTGCAAAAGATTATCATATGAAACCAAAATTATTGAGAGCATTTCGACGTGGACTTTCAAAAGTAACTCGAACAACAGGTATGATCAATTCAATCGAAATTAAAATAGTTTGTTTTTATAAGAGAAATATTACGATTGAGTTTTGATTTATTTGAAGGTGCTTGGATTATAACTGGTGGTATGAATACTGGAATTATGAAACTTGTTGGTGAAATTGTTCAAATAAATCCTGATCGTTCTCGTCCAATTCATTTAATTGTAAGTCAATTTTTGAATATTGAATTATTCTTTATTCTTTATGGTAATAGGGTATTGCTACATGGGGTTGTGTATCTGGTTTTGAACAATTAGATGTTCATGGAGCAAATGTACATTATGCTAAATCACGTAGTGAACAAAAAGGCGAAGCACCACTTGAACCTAATCATACAGAATTTATATTTGTTGATGATGGTAGTGAAAGAAAATATGGACGTGAGATTCAATTTCGTGCTCGACTTGAACAAGCTATATCAGGTGGTTTTTTTGCAACACGACCTGCAACCAGTTCTAATAGTACATATCCAACTTTAACAAAAACACAATCTTTACGTCCAGAACAATTAGGTTGATATACTATGTTTATCTTCATCAATGATTCAACTTGATGTTTTTTCATCCTAGACCCAGTTCCTGTTGTTCTTCTAGTTGTTGAAGGTGGTCCAAATACTGTTCGCACAGGTACAATAATTTTTATTTATATCAAAATTCAACTGTTCCTTTTTTTTATAGTCCATGAAGCTGTTGTTCAAAATAATATACCAGCTGTATTTTTTGAAGG